TACAGACAACCTTCACTGATGTCTCACTATCCGACATCGAAGGACCATGTACAGATCCCGCGATAAGAATTCAAAATCCGCCTCGTTGACACGTAAAACGAACAATTTAAATATTACAAAATGCACTTCAACACGCATTCACTATCTAATTTGCACAATTACTTTCAAAGAAGTTACTTTAATCACAATACAAGCCTCTTGTCAAGAACTTTAACCCTACACAACTTAAAACTAGGCGGTTTTCACGAAACACAATTACGTAGCGAAGTCACGCGCACAAATCTAACAATCTAGACCGCACTCCGGTCGCGCGAAACTTCTGCAGCGATAACCGAGATACGCAGATTATCCGCACCGCTGCCAGCGAGCTACCGCTGACTCGACCCAGCGGCCGGTAGCAACTCATTCCCCAACCGCCCACTCGTTTAACCGGTTACCGCCCTTCGGTGTCAAATCTTGAAACCAGCGTTTGGGCGCGAACAGCAGTTGTCTTTAAAAATGTTTCAAATGATTAATTTACTGTTTGTTGTTGATAAATAATCCTAGTACATAAAGCGTAATGAATCACCAAAACAGTAGTGTATATGTAGAGGTGCATGTGTTATATACGCACGCACACATTCTCACTATATTGTGGCGAAAGAACACCAGACGGCGCTAGTACTCTTCGGTTGACAGATTTCGCACGAGTGGGCTCTCTTTTCCTGTATAGGACAGTTACTATACTCTTTGGTGGTTACAGACTGAGGCGGCTACTGACATGTCTGCCGCAGGGGCAATCTAGGGAGCACAGCGATCGGAGCAATATCGGAGCTGTCTCTACACACACGCCTGCCGTTGAGCTTCAGTATGAGAGATGAGAGTGTAGGTCACAGAGTAACTTTGTATAAACGTCTCGCTAGATGCACGCGTTGAGAATGGTGCCAGTTTTATCAAAATATCAATAAATCGGTATATACAGCCTTGGCTCTTTTTTATATAGAATAAGGGTGACAAATGAGCATAGTCCACCTGATGGTAAGTGGACACTGTGGCCCATAGACACCCACATTTATCAATAAAACAACTAATTAATTAATAATTACAGCCATAATATAGTGCTTAGAAGCTGCAGCATAGCTCTACCACGCTATTTTTAGGCTATCAAAGACAATTAAATATGACTAACTTCACTCGTCATAATTTAATATAACCAATTTATTCTGTGATATAACTTAACTAAATAGTGCTTAGTAACTATAATTTAACTAGTGTTACAAATAGCCAGGATAGTTTTCTAATGATGAGTTTTAATAAAATTTTATAACTACAATTTGTATTTTTGTTTAATTATTTAGTTAATGAGATATTATTTATATTCCAGCAATTTTAATATTATTGGACTATTTTCTTTCCCATACTAGCTCTTATGAAAAGTTAGGTAACAAATCCCAGTAATGTTACTTGTAAGTTACAACGTTCAAATAATGTTCTTTCTGCGGGTCTGACTTGTACTCATACGTGTGCTCCGCGCGAAAGTCGCAACGAACTGATTGAAATTGCTCCAAATGCGCTACACACCCGACAGCGGCAGGGCCGATCTAGGGAGCAAGGAAGGTCTTCCGATCCTGCCGCCCTGCCCTGCCGACTTAAAAAATTACCCCTGCTTGCCTACACACATCACAATTAAGGGTCATCCCCACTCCTACACCCTAGATTGCCCCTGCGGCAGGCATGTCAGTAGCCGCCTTAACCCAGCGGACATTTGATAATAAAAAATCTCAAGGCCTATTCTGAACCTTCTCTGCAAAGGAGAATGCCAGAATCTCTATAGAACTTTGCCCCACCTAAAATTGCGGTGTACACAATTGCCGTATGCCTAATTTGTTTGCTGTTTTATTACTTTATACAAATAAAATAAGTTCAGGTTATTAGAACCTGCGATTTTTTTAAATTGAACTTTTACATAAACCTTATGTTTTATAAAAACATTCGTTGCAGTTTATTTCAATTGCAATTTATAAACTGTCAGGCGCTAATAAAATATGTAAATAAGGATTTTAGGCGCCGTAATAAACTTGCGTTGGGTTTGGATAAAACAATTATATGATTACTAATATTTGAGAAGGTTTTCTCCTGTTTTGGATCTAAAAGATCCTAACACTATAAGATAACCACCACGTGTTCACTGGTTTAGGGATAAACAGATAGAATGGATCCTTTATGTAAATATTACTCTGGTATGACTCTTTTCTACTTAGGAGTCCGTTTGGGGAGGTACGACTTTCCCATTTCAGTCGGCAAGCTGCAGTGCGTGCACTGTTGCGTTCTGGTCTGAAGGGTATAGAGAGTCAGTATAATTACAGGCTGTGAGGCATTCCGTCTTAGATGACTACGTTTTCATTTTGTAGCCCTCTTTGTTTTAAGTTCGTTATAGGTGTCTATGTGTGTCACTTACCATCAGATATGATATGATATTGTTTCTCATTTCAGTTTTTGGTAGTGTATTGCTTGACATAATATTATGTAGGTGCGTACTTTGACCGGCGATCGTACTAGCTATCATTTCTCACTATAAACTTTGTATGTAGGTCTGGCATATTTAAGATCGTAAATTCACTAACGCGATTTTGGGCATTTGTCTCTTTTTACTTTTACACAAAGACATTTAAGTAGTATAGTATACCTATATATTTAAATCTCTTTGCTTTTACAACATTGTATGCAGATTTTATTCTTAATTTGACTGCGATGTCATTACAAAATAAATCAAAATAATTAATAGGTATGTGTTCATCCTAATATCAGTAGTGTATCTAAACTGTATTCTTTAAACTCTGGTTTGAAGAATAACAACTACTGGACTCATAAAGACGTTCCCTGTATCCTTAAAAGCTACCAAAAGATACTGACCGTGAAACACGTCAACATTGCCCGTTTTTTCCATAAATTTGAACTTATTTTTTTTTTTTTAAGGGTACATTAGTATATTTCATTATTTGCTACAACTTTAAGATCGTGTGCACGTATTTTTATTGTTAAATTCATTGTAAGTTAAAATTTAAACCAATATTTGATCGATATTGAAGATGGGCAAAATTATCTGAACTTTTTGCCAACTTTGCCCACGTTGATTTTTTATGCAAATACAGTTTGTAATATACCAGCAATAAGCGTCACTACCGAGATGTGAGAAATCTTGGCGTTGGTTTCCAAACTTTGTTAGTAGTGTTAAAACATTTACAGTAAAATGAGTGGGCAAAGTTAACTAGCTATTTTCGCTCTTTTTCATACAAGCCGCATTGAGCGATTATATGAGTGATAAAAGTGTTAGGATTGTCACATTCTAGTAAATGTCAATGATCTTACAAAATTTCTATAGAGGTAGCTAGATATTATAAAAATCGTGATCAAAATTAAATGTTTATTTGTTTTTTCCCTTATTTCTAAATTTATTATAATAAATTGAGATCAATAAAGGTTCATTTAGTTAGTAAAATCAATTGTTAAATAAATCAAAAAGTAAATGAGGAAACTTATAGGTAGCTGATGACCGACCTACTGTGATAAAAATCAAAACACTATGAAATTATCATTGAGACAGTAAATGTACAAAAAATAGTAACCACATTAATTGCATTTTGTATAGAAAATTCAGTATAGAAATACTGAATTTTGTAAAAGATTAGGTTAATTTTTAAGTGTAACGTTATAATTTTGCTACATAAAAAAATAATTATAAATAGGCTAACACAGCAATAATTTACTTTTTTAATTTTCGGTTTCGATTGGGCTCATCCCCCCTAATCATAAATATTATTTCTATTGTATGTTACAATTATTCCAATTACATCAAATATAATTTGACTACGTCTAGATATCGTTGGTTTAGGCAAAATCGAAATAATATCTTCTAAGTGGTCTATCGTGCAAATGTCATCTACGATTGGGTACATGAACATTGTCCCTTTTTTACATTTGGATCTTTTACTTTTCTTAAAAATTTTATTTTGGGTTTTTGTCATTGATCGATAAAACTTCACCCACAAAATGTTTTAAACTCTTTTTAGTAGTAAATCGAACACGGAATAATCCAGTCCACTTTTACTTAATTCACACGTGTCCTCATTAAAATATTCAATATCACTTAGGCCAAATGGAATCTCTGTAGGTTTCACATTTTCTTTTTCTTCTTGATCTTTTAAACATTCAGCTATGTAGTAGCTATACATTGTTTCATAGTCTGAATTATCCGTGTCAGCTAATGTAATAGTAGAAGCTGCAGAAATGGAGCTCGAAATAATAGCAGATCGCCTCTTTTTTCGTTTAACAGAAGCATGTTGTAGGGTATTCTTTCCATCTACTTTCTTTCTTTTTCGACCAGTATTTTTCATCTTTATTTCTTTTAAACCTTTTTCTTTATTTTTTTTTCCTTTGCAGGCATTCTGGCAAATCTCGATTACTCAAAGCTATAAATGGCATGTTTTCATTCTTAGAAACTTTACTCAAATAACGGGCATCTGATGTATGCGTTCCAGCCTTAATTATTTTATCAGAAAGTATAGTTATTTTGGAAGAACTAGGTTTTTTTGCAGAACTTCCAGATGTCTCAATATTTCTCCGATATTTCGGTAAATTATTATCATTTATAGACATTAATGAGGTAACAACTTTCGAAAGTGAAAAATCATGCGCATACGTCACTTTCTGCACAGTTTTTGCACAACAAAGTGTCAATAATATCAATATAATAACTGCTAAGACTCTTAGGAGTTTTTAGGATAAGAGTAGAATGCTGGTATTTTGACCAATCATTTTTTTGTTAGAATTTTCCTCAGATGTCTTGTTAAGGGTAAACGGATCAAGAGCAGCGTTTTGAAGTTACTATTGTCAACATGGGAAGGCAGCAATCAAACACCGAGATCGAGCTGAGACTGATTTATTCATATCCACCCTCAACTATTACAATAATCTCTCACATCTCCCTTCTTAATGATAAGGAACAAAATTAAAATGGTATTTTACTCGTGCTGTGTATAGCCAGCGCTGGAAAGCTGCGCGCTCAACGCTGACTCCGGCTCGTATGCCCGTGACAACGCGTCAGCAATAAATAGATGTTTACCGGCCTTGTAGACTAATTTGAATGTATAGCGTTGTAATTTCAATAGCATCCGTTGTAGGCGCGATGGTGAGTCCGCTATTGGTTTCTTTATAATGCTAACGAGTGGCTTGTGATCAGTTTCGATAACTACATCTGTTCTTCCGTAAATGTACGCATGAAACCTCTCACAAGCAAAAACGCAAGCGTATAACTCCTTCTCTATCTGAGCATATCGCTGTTCTGCTTTTGACAATGACTTAGACGCATAACAAACTGGCATTCCATTTTGCATTAGAAAGGCACCTAAGCCGCTTTTGCTCGCATCTACTGAGATAGTAATAGGGAGGTCTAAGTCGTAATATCTTAACACTGGTGGTTTTGATAAACACTTTTTTATAACTTTTAAACACTCATCATGTTGTTCATCCCAGTGCCATTCTTTTTTTAACAACTCTCTCAACAACAATGTCTTATCAGATAAATTTGGTATAAAAGCACCCACGTAAGTAATTAGTCCTAGTAATCGATCTATGTCCTTTTTATTTTCAGGTTTAGGCATGTTCGTAATTGCTGTAATGTGTGAGTTATCTGGATAAAGCCTCTTTATTTGTAATCCTATGTCCCAAATACCTGATTTCTTCTAAACCAAATTTGCACTTATTTTTATTTAGTTTGAGGTTGACTTTCCTGCACCTGTCCAATACTAATTTTAATCTTCCATCATGTTCTTTTTTTGCTGCTACCTGATATATATTAATAAGTTGTCGATGTACATACAAACTCCATCTAAGTCATCAAAATTTTCGTATATTTTTTTATGAAACACCTCTGGTGCCACCTTAAGAATTAGTAACGTCCAAAGGGAGTGTTAAACGTGCACAACTCGCTAGTATCGTCTAAAGCCACCTGCCAGAACCCCGCTACCGCATCCAGAGTACTGAAATACCTAGCACCTGAAAGTTTTGATACAATCTCGTCGAGTGACGGTAACCTAAAATATTCTCTTTTGATCGCGCTATTTAATTCCTTTGGATCAAGACAAACTCGTATGTCTCCATTAGCTTTTTTTACAATAGTTAAAGTACTTACCTAATCCGATGGGCCCTCTACTTTGGCTATAATGTCTTGTTTTTCCATCTCTTCCAATTTCATCTTAACGTTGTCTCTAATCGCGAACGGTAGTTTCCTAGGAGCATGAACAACCGGTACAACATTTTCATGTAATTTTATTCTGTATTTCCCCGGTAAGCACCTATACCCTGAAAAACGTCGTCATACTGCCCTAAAAATGAGGGAACTCCGCTATCCTCCTGTACCGACATCACGTGCCTCACCATATCCAACTCACTGCACGCAAACCTGCCCAAGACCGGCATAGACTTAACATCTGCTATTTTAAATTCTAGCATGTACATTTTACTTTCGTAATAAACCTTTAAAGTGATTTTTCTTACTACTTTTATGGCGGTGCCCGAGTAGCCAGACAACTTGGTATTTGTTTTTAGCAAATCTTTATCCGAAACCCCAATTTGAGGCAAATAATCCAACGGCAATATATTAACACCTGCCTCAGTATCTAATTTAAAATTAACAGACTTATTATTAATCATTAGGTTAACATTCCACTCACTACTAGATTTTACAGTATGTATTATCTGCTCATCAGACTCCTCGACATTGAATACACTAGCATCACAGGCTCTGGCAAAGTGATTCATTTTCGCACATCTTAGACACTGCTACTCATACGCGGGACACTCAAACTTTTTATGTACACTGCCACATTGACCACATTGCACCCAAAGCGTCGAACCCGTGAAGGCACGCTCGCCTTGAGCGCGCGGCGGCGGGCGCTGGGTCGAGCGAGTCGTGCCGCCGCGTACGCCGCGTCCGCCAATGCGCGCGTCCGCGCTCACGCCACCTGCGCCGCCGCGATATCCTCTCCTTGAATCCCTCCTGTGCCGTACACTCCAAATATTCTCATTATTTTCGACCGCTTGATTATTGTTGTTGATTAAACATGCTGATAACTGCTCCTGTTTAATATTATCCGCATACACCCTCGATACTATCGCGACTCGACATATTTCTAATGCTTTACTTAAAGTTTTTTAACAGTGGTAGAGCCACGCGGCAGCTTTTGCTGTCGCACGGATGGGCCGGCTCGAACCGGGGTAGTACCACGACCTCACAGAAAACCAGCGTGAAGTAGAGGTTTACCTCTGCGTTTCGCTTGGTGAGTGCAGGTGGCCGGAGGCCCTTTTTACTGGAAATGAGGCATTCCATCTTAGTCCTCGCGGGTGACAGCGCATCTGCATTTTGATTTGTAACAGAGGATAGATGTAGATGTCTATGGGCCGCAGCAACCACTTACCATCAGGTGGACTGCGTGCTCGTTTGTCACGCTCATCCTATAAAAAAAAAAAAAAGAAAAGTTAGATCGTACTCCCTTTGTAGCCGTTGCCGAATAGCTGAATTGGATACGCCACATATCAGCCTATCTTTTATAAGACCGTCGTTTAAGGCCCCAAAATCGCATGTTTGAGCCAATTTCTGCAAGTCGAAAACATATTGTTCTATGGTCTCATTTTCTCTCTGGTTCCTTGTAAAAAATCGGTGTCGTTCCACTGTAACATTAGGTTTTATATTAAAATCTCCATCCAATATTTGTAAAACAGCTTCCGCGGTAGTGCATTTTAAAAGTGAATCTTTGTTTTGGTCTAGGATTTCTCGGCATTGATCGCCAAGTACGTGCAATAATATATTAATTTGCACTCTCGCCGCTTTGTTCGTTATTTCACATGCTTTTGTATAAATTTCATAGCTATTCCTCCATTTTGTCCAACTGGCACTTAAATTTGCGTAGTCTGAACTCCCGTCGAATCGAAATGGTTTTGGTGGACTTAAGACACCTTCCATAATTATTAGATATTATTAACTAAACACTATTAGAATTAGTTTGTAATATACTTAATAAACTTATTAACTTTTCCGACTGCGCCATGTCAACATGGGAAGGCGGCAATCAAACACCGAAATCGAGCTGAGACTGATTTATTCATATCCACCCTCAACTATTACAATAATCTCTCACAACTATTCTCAATATGTATACCAGAAAATTTATCAAGACGGTGTATGTTATCATTTATACTCTGAATCTCAAAATCTTGATCCTCTTTGGTATCATTATTTGGACTTTGAATTAAAATACCAGTTTGATCATCTAAAAAGAAAATATTCTCTTTATGTAATTTTTCCACTCCAAAATAAATTCTTTTTATTTATTTTATTTTTCAAGTTGCACTTAACTTTATCTTTGCAAGAATTAATAATGTTGAGATAAGAGATTGTCACTGATTTCTCCGGTTCGCAATTTACCTTTTTATTTCTTTTTAATTCCATCGGTTTTGGAGCTCTCGTTTCCTTTAAATAATAATCTATTAAATATAATAGAATAAGACAATATTTCCTCTTGAATTTCAGGAATCTTTTTTTAACACTTCTTGGGGATTTAGTGGGAATATTCCCGTTACTCTAAAACCATTTCTTACGTTTTTTTCCTCCTTCAACTTTATAGCTTCTGTCAAATGTTTTTTGTTCAGTGAAGTCTGGTCGAGGTTTTTAATTTTGTACTTGTACAAGATTTGTCGCCAAGCTTTTCACAATGGTGTAAAAAATCCTACGTCGAGAGGCTGTGTGAGGTGCGTTGACCGTGGAGGTATAAAAACAAAACTTGATATCATTTTGTTCACATAACTCTACTACTTTCACATTTAAGTGGCTAGATAGGTTATCGCAAATTACAACTTTAGCACATGGAGTATCTTGTGCCCAAGAAATAATTATCTTTTGAAAGTAATCTTCGAACATAGCGCAATTTTTATACATTCGGGACCCAATTTCACGTCGTGACTTTCTGAGTCGAATTTTAGGCATGTGTTTGTTTTTCTGAAATTTTAAATAAAAAAAAGTAGGGTCAGAACCGATTGTTAATACAAATGTACTTATATTATATTCAATACAGGTATGTATGTACGTAAATGTTTGTATTTTAAAGTTCCAAATTTATAAGTGCATTTTATGGAGATTTGTCAATTAGTTTCTAACTCAACGTGACTACTCCTTAACCATGAGCTAGTTACGCAGCGGTATCGCAACCTCATGAAAGACTTTGGTCGAGTTCAAAACTAATCGGCCAATCATGATAATGCACGTGAGAAAAACCGCCCATAAATACTCCCAAACTAGAATATAATTTTCGGAAGTATATTAATTATACAAAACATTATGTCAGACCATCTGCTATGAAAGTAATCAAAAAATTGACAACGACTTCAATTTTTGATAAGTTAAAAATACGTCAAAAGAATAACACATTTATAAACGAAAAAATCGATTAAAAAAAATCGAGTGCCAACCCTTGGTATTTTTTGATGGCGGGTCATCATCATCATCATCATTACAGCCCTTCACAAGTCCACTGCTGAACATAGGCCTCCCCCAAAGAATGCCACAAAGCACGGTCCTGAGCCACCTGCATCCATCGACTTCCTGCATATCTTACCAGGTCGTCACTCCATCTAGTGGGGGGACGCCCTACACTTCGCTTGCCGGTACGAGGCTGCCACTCGAGAACCTTTCTTCCCCATCGGTTGTCGGTTCTTCGAGCTATATGGCCGGCCCATTGCCACTTCAGCTTACTAATCCGTTGGGCTATGTCGGTCACTCTGGTTCTACTGCGGATATCCTCATTTCTGAGTTTATCACGCAGAGAAACTCCGAGCATAGTCCTCTCCATAGCTCGCTGAGCGACCTTGAGCTTCCTCATCCGGCCAGCAGTGAAGGACCACGTCTCAGTTCCGTATGTCATCACTGGCAACACGCACTGGGTGTACAGTCTCGTTTTCAAGTTTTGAGGTATACCTGACGAGAAGATGTGTCGTGATTTCCCGAACGCTGCCCAACCGAGTTGAATCCGTCGATTGACGTCTTGGTCGAAGTTGGACTTACCTAGTCGGACTATTTGTCCCAGGTAAACATACTCGTCAACAACTTCGAGCTTAGTGTTCCCAACAACTACCTATCCGTCGGGAAACATTATTGAGGTCATTGAGCATAGTGCTTAGGTCCTCCAGCGATTCTGCCATAAGGACAATATCGTCGGCAAATCGAAGGTGAGTGATGTACTCGCCATTGATGTAGATACCGTATCCTTTCCAGTCCAGAAGCTTGAAAACATCTTCCAATGCAGCGGTAAAGAGTTTCGGGGATATGACGTCACCCTGTCTTACACCTCCCTGCAATTGGATAGGTTTCGTACTCTGGTTCTGTACTCGGATAGCCATCGTAGCCCTACTGTACAAGCACTTCAACACTTCGATATACCGACAGTCAACTTGGCATCGCTGAAGGGACTGCAGTACCGCCCAAATTTCGACGGAATCAAAGGCTTTCTCATAGTCCACATACGCCAGACATAGTGGCAAATTGTACTCCTCGGACTTCTGTACAATTTGCCGAAGGGTATGTATGTGGTCTATGATGCGGAAACCGGCT